ACACACACACACACACACACACACACACACACACAAACATCTATGTTTCAAGGAAGCTGTGAAAGAAAGTATGTGCCTCTACTGCGCAAAGACTATCCCCGATGCCATCATCCACCACATCCTCTCTAAGTGTTATGTACCCGATTGAACTTCAATGCACAACGAATTCACACGTTCCCATACACGCATGCAGTTGCAGAGTAGACTCGAAGGAGGCAAATCCACACAAAACCGGAGAGAAGATATGCATAGCAGAAGCTCAAAATACACATGAGAGAATTGAAAAACAAATTTCAATTCTGCAATCCCTCGTCCTCCTCCAGTCAATCCAGAGTACTCGTTCCAAGAATCACAAGATTCACGACCGCGTTTACGACAACCCCGAACAACCAAGGAACAAGTGTTCATTGACGTATGCAGCAGTCTTCTTCTTCTTCTTCTTCTTCTTCTTCTTCTTCTTCTTCCTCCTCCTCCTTCTCCTCCTCCTCGCCACCTCATACCCCTCCCTGGCTATGGCTGCCGTAGCTGCAGTAACCCCGCAGCTGTCACAAAGTGCCAATCTGAACCAGCAACCCCAATGGCAACAGCGCCAGCTCAGCACCCGCATGGAAGTGCAGCGCTCGACGTCCTGAAGAAGAAGGAGACAACCGATCGAGCACTTTGAGGAAGACAAAGTTCATCGAGAGGAGGAACAGCAGATATGGCTGCCAAGTGGAAGATGGCAGCACCCAAACCCAACAACAAAGTCCTGTGGAAGCTCTCATGCAGAGCCGCGAAATAGCAGCAGCGCGATCTTCAACTTCGTTTCTCAACCCCAGCTATGGCTGGGCTTCGAGGAAGAAGATGACCTCGCCCAAAATAGACCAGCAGCGCTCCAGCAACGGACGGACAGAGTTTCCCTGGCCAACAAAAACGTGAAAAGACCTGAACCAAATTTCCTTCCGGCCAACCCCACCCCCCGCCTAGACCTAGGACGGACTCCAAAGGCAACAACCCAAGACTCATTTGTTTCTAGATGGGAACAGGGGAAGAGGGGACCTGGACCCTTTTTTTTTTTTTTTTTTTTTTTTTTGAAAACATGTCCCCGTCAGTGTTAGTGGTGCTGATAAGAGCAGACACTGCTAACACTTGGGGGGGGGGGAGCTCCATCTATTGGTGGGGAGCGGCACCTGTTGGAAAACGGGTCCTGGACCTCTGACAAGGCAAAAGGGGAAAAGGCGGAATGGCCTACGAGGCTAGGAATACCAATCAGAGACTACTAATGACAGACTCAGGGATCAAGTGCCATCGGGCGCAGCACTCACAAACAAAACGCACGAGGTACAGGTCACGGGATCGAGTCCCGCAAGGCTCAAAACAAGAAAACAAACTACAAAGCCAAACACCTACCTAGTACACAGCCCCGCTGGGAAACTGCGATTTATTGCATGTCCCACACATGCAACGTTGGGCACACACCTACCTGCTGCAATCGCAGTATTTGGTGTCCACTCTACGGACTGGTGACGCGTGTCTGGCTTAAAAGGTGTGGGGCATTTGTTACAATGACCCTGAAAAAACCCTAAACCCTGAAAATTTAGGGCTCTGTTAACCTCTTCTCCTTCCGAGCATGGGCCACCGGCGTGTGTGTGTGTGTGTGTGTGTGTGTGTGTGTAATAGTGTATTAAAAAAAAATAGAAAAGAATTCAGGTCACATCATATGACCTGACCTAAATCCTTTTTTTTTTCTTTTTCTTTTTTTTTTTTTTTTTCTTTTTTTTTTTTTTTTACAAATGAAAAAAATGAGACTAGAAGCTTCCT